GGTTTTTTTTTTTTAAAGTCAACCTTCTACTCATACTGCATCTGTTTGAGGAAAGTCGAAAAATGTAACATGTAGGAGAGAAACTTACATGTGTATTTAAATCTGCTCCCAAAAGCTTTCCTGTTATCTAAGAGAGCTCAAACTTACCCCCCAAAGCCTTGGCAGATGCTACTTTTGTAAATACCTGCTTTCCTACAATTGGGGGAATAAGTCCAGATCAAAGCATGCCTCTCCCACTGGGACAGGCAGTACAGCCGCTCTCCGAGTTACGAACCAACACTTGGTCCGTAACTCAAACTGTTCGTAACTTGGATCCCATAGAGTTACATGGCGACCGCGCTGTTTGTAAGCGCGGATCGCCGTTCGTAACTCAGATCCACTTGGTCGTAAGTGCGGATGGTCGTAAGTCGGAGAGTGGCTGTACTCAAAAAATGTATTACTGATTTGTCCTTCTGGATGTGCTCGCACTATGCTACTTCAGGTTATTCAGAAGGTACGGTTTGTAAAGACTAACTTAATACGCACCTTATTAATCCTCCCGATGGCATAACACAAATGCTCCTAAAGACTGAGCATTATATGTCTTAGTTTTTACAGAATTAGGCGGTGGTGGTGACTGAAGCAAAACTGGAAGTCCTTACAGCAGACTTCACAGATTGATCTTAAAAGTTACCTAAACGTTTAAGCTTCTGCAGCGGGACTCGATCCCCTTCATCATCTTCCGTCAGGATGTCCTCTACCGACCAACAGCTTCCTAAGGCAAGCAGAAATGTGGTTTAATTTATTTAAAGTGGTCAGGTTGGGGCCAAAAGCGAAGGCAACATTTCTACCGACCACCCCCAAATTAAAACAGGTACTTTGCAGTAGCCACTAGCAAGAAGGTAAAAACCTCAGTTTGAAATATTCCTTCACCCCATTTTCCAGTATCATTCTGAGTACCATTTAATGAAGAGGTCTTAAACAAGACCTTACACCAGTGGTAGGTGACATTCTTGGGTCCTACCCCTCCCTCTCAGAGCTTGAATATGGTGAATCAGCTGATTCATGGTGTTTAAGACCTGGGACAGCTTGGGTGAGGAGACAGGGAAGAGACCGATCAGGGATTTGATATAATAATAATGATAATAATAATAATAATATATGGAGATATACCTCTCTCATAAAGCTGGAAGGGACCTTTAGAGGTCATCGAGTCCAGGCCCCTGCCCTCATGGCAGGACCAAGTACCATCACTTCTTGTAAAATAAGTGTCAACATTTTTTTTTTATTTGAAGTGGGTGACAGTTCTATCAAGATATGAACGATTAAAGCATTTCTACTTATTTTGAAATATTCAGCATGCCATGTATTCAGTCTTATTCTTGGGGTCATGGTTAGTGCACAAGACTAATTTCAATCTTGTAGCCCACTCACTAGCCTTGGTTGGCCATCACTGCCTTACACAGCTGCAGTACCTAAAACACTACATATTCACTCACATGGCACTTTCCAAAAGAAGGGATTTTACACTACAGGCTCGTCTACACTGGCCCCTTTTCCGGAAGGGGCATGTTAATTTCAGAGATCGTAATAGGGAAATCTGCGGGGGATTTAAATATCCCCCGCGGCATTTAAATAAAAATGTCCGCCGCTTTTTTCCGGCTTTTAGAAAAGCCGGAAAAGAGCGTCTACACTGGCCCCGATCCTCCGGAAAAAGTGCCCTTTTCCGGAGGATCTTATTCCTACTTATTCAAAAAAGGGTGCTTTTTCCGGAGGATCGGGGCCAGTGTAGACGCTCTTTTCCGGCTTTTCTAAAAGCCGGAAAAAAGCGGCGGACATTTTTATTTAAATGCCGCGGGTTTGAAGGAAATTAACATGCCCCTTCCGGAAAAGGGGCCAGTGTAGACGTAGCCTACTTCTTTTGGGATACATTTATAGGACTCATTTGAAAACCTAGGCAACTACACATCCATGTTTTATTCTCACCTACGTATTTAATTTTCAAAAAAAGCTGATGTATTAAGATTAAACTCATAAGCATCACCTCTAGAGCACAGTAGACTGCACAAATTATTTTAGCATAGAGACGTATTTAGTATAAGGATTCTTGTTTTTTAAGCCTATTGTAATAAGCTAAAGGCACAATTATTTCAGGAAGCAGACCTACCAAAGATGCTATATTTTACAGTAATAAAAAAACCTCCCTCCTTTACATAAACAAGAGCAGGCAGCTGATAAGGCAGGCAAGTATTCTGCAAAAGGTAGGAACAGTTACAACATTGTTTCAAAGCACAGCAAGTTTTAGAATACTCAATTTGCTTTAATCTTATGTACTAAAAATCTAGCTAATTGATGCCAGCATTTATGGGAGTTTTAAAATGTATTTAGGCAGTTTTTAAAACAGGCTTGCATATCATTGCATTTAAATATCAAACACAGATAATCATCACAATTACCTTCTGTTTAGAGAAACATTATGCAATAATCTAACCATGAAATCTCCCACCATATGATAGAGAAAGCCTCTTTACCAGAAACACCACATTCTACATATGATAATTTTACTCAACAGAAACTTCTGATTATATATTTATCAATTTATCTATCAACTTAATTTTTTTTTAAATGGACAGTCCCTCTATTTTTCTAGGAATGTAATTAATGTGTTTAATTTTTCCCATTCCCCAGGTTTGGAGCTACTATTTTTTCTCCAATGAGAAGCTAGCATTAGCTTTTGATCTTTGCGTGTGACTATTTCTGCTAAGAAGCCCAACAAGGCTTGTTTGTTAATAGATACCTAGAATGTACGCTTTAAAATGTACACCTACCTTCATCTTCCCCTGGCTTAACTCTTCTGAAAGGCAAGGGTGTGTCTGTAACCACCTTCTTCACCACCTGATCCTGTCTAGGTATACATTGCTCTATGAAAAATTCAAAGTGACATTAATTCTCCAGCGTAGGAAAGACACAAGCAACAAGTTAGCAGCTTTTAAAAATTGATTTAGAAGAACATGCAGCGCCAAGACAAAGTCCCTTTCTTACCCTTATGCGTCTTGTAGCAGGAGACAGAACAACTGCAACAAAGAAAAGCGCTATTTTAAAACACACCAGCTCAAGGCTGTTTAAGTGACTGACCGCCTCATCATCCCACTCCTTGCAAAGAAAGCAAAAATGTGGCAGCCAAATTCGCCCCCACCCCTAGGATCTGGGCCCAGGAGCACAACCAATCTAAAGCGCTATTTTAAAACACACCAGCTCAAGGCTGTTTAAGTGACTGACCGCCTCATCATCCCACTCCTTGCAAAGAAAGCAAAAATGTGGCAGCCAAATTCGCCCCCACCCCTAGGATCTGGGCCCAGGAGCACAACCAATCTCCCT